TAACGGCGCGACAGGACGGGGAGGCCCTTCCTTACCCGCCTGCGCGGCCATGGTCCCGGGGACGCGGAAATGGGGAGGTGGCGGGGACCGCAGCAGCTCCTCTCAGCTCCCGCTGCCAGCCGCCTCAGGCGCGGGAGGACCTCAGCCCCGGGCGCAAGCAGGATGCACCGCCTACGGCGCCCGGGGAGGACCAAACCGCACCTGGCACCGGGGCCCGCCCGCCGACGCCCCGCCCCCGGGCCAGGCCCCGCCCCCGGGCTCGGGCTCTGTGGGGGCCCTGGCGCCTCGTACTGCGAGCGGCGCGGAGCTGGTAAAGGTGGTTGTGCGCGGCCGTGAGGTGGCTTGTCAGGCGAGTCCTCGGGACAACCTGGAGGTCTCAACAGAGGACCCTCAGCCCATTTTACAGATGCGGGCAGCTGAGGACCCGAGGGAACAAGTTTGACTACCTCGAAATGGCTCAGCTCATTAGAAGCAGAAGTGAGATGGGAACCCAGGTCTCCTAACTCCCAGGCAAAAGCTCTTTCCAGTAGAGTGTTTGGGATCAAGAATATGAATATGAAGGGGTGCCTGACTGGCTCAGTCAGTACAGCATGGGACTCTTGATCTTAGGGTTGTAAATTCGAAACCCCACGTTTGGTGTAGAGATTGCTTAAAAATAAAAATCTTAAAAAAAAAAATGAATATGGAGAAGTTACCCCACAAACCTTTGGGGATTGAGGGTGGACTTTTCTTAGAAGCTTCCAGCTCAGAGAAGCCACTTATCTGCGCCATTGAGTAAGCTGGCACTCAGTAGATAATCTCTAGGTCAAAGATGGTATGAAGGTGGTGCAACCACATTCCAGAGGCAGATCCTTCTTGAGGCCAAATAGGTATATAAATGAATCCCAGCACACCAGATCTTCCAATTTTTCAAGACAAGCCAAAACTCCAGGTATTTAGGTGAATTTTCCTATTTTTAAATGTTGGTAACATTCGGAAATTTTAAAAATGCCATGTAGACCAAAGGAAACACTTGTGGAGTGAGGTTGCCCTGCTGGCTCCTCTTTGTGGAGGAGAAAGCACTGGACAAGGAGTTAGAACAGCTGACTGGCTCCTGGCAGCTGTTAGCTGGCTGAGGGGCCTTGAAAACCACTTCCCTTCACTGGGCTTGGGAGGGAATTGGGGCCCTCCACGTGACAAAGGGTGGCCTACATCACCACTGGACCTGTGGTCCCTCCCATTTGATTCTCTGGTGCTGGGTGTTTGGCAACTGTCATTTCCTTAGACTGGATTTAGGTCATGGGAAAAGTGTCCAAATGACCAGGAAGAGGCAGGGATGGGGCCCAAGGAAATGGATCATGATGCCCCCACCACGGACAAAGTTCAATCCTGCTGCATCTGGTTCCAGTAAGCAAAGGTGAGCACAATTCTTTCTTCCTGCCCTCTGTAATCCAAACCAGATGCAGGTCAGTTGGTTCTCCTCTGGGTGTGTCAGGTGGCTCCTGAAGTCCTGAATGTGGAGAAAGTGCTGAGGGGGTGGGGGAGGGGATGTGCCCAACTTCCTTTAATTCCTGGGAACCCTCCAGTGGTTGGTTTTACAGTTTGAGAAAATCTCTGGTCTGATTATAGTAACCACAGGATTGTGTGTTGAATTAAAGTGACAGGGATCCAGGGAACTCTGACAAGCCACCTTGTGGCTAGCAAAAAGGAAGCAGGGATTTTATTCACCCTGCACATGCAAAGAAGTTATGCTGTATTTTCCCAGGTTCATGGGCACTGGCAGCCTTGGAACCAAGACCCCTGTTTGTCTTCCCCTTCCTCTGCCCCACAGCAAGGCACCCAGGTCTGTCTCTTTTCCGTCCTCTCTCTCATTCCACTTCCTTCCCACCTCCAGCCTCCTGGTGTTCACTAGCAGTGAGTGGGGGGATAACCAACTCCCCCAAGTTCTCTCCAGAAGGGAAGTTTAGGTATTTCTTGAGAAATACAAATTGAAATGTAAAGAAAGAAAATAGCAATCTATCGAAATGGTATAATGAAGAGATATCATTCCAATATAGATCCAAAGAATAGTGTAAGATCACTTGTGAATGCGAGGGGGACTTCTGGAGGACAGAAAAGTTCTGGGTAAGAAGATGTGGGTTTCTAGTGCCCAAGTCACCTGTTCACAGTTTGATTACCTGACCATAGTTTGGTCAGTCTCTGAGGCCAGATCCTGCTGACTGACTCACAATCAACTCTTTGGACCTATAGAAATGAGAACCTGGACACTGAAAACCACCTTAAGGTTCAGACTCTGCCTCTCAAAAATCTTCAACAGTTCCTTGTTGCCAACAAAATAAAGGCCAAACCAAGCCCTCATGAGCGAACTACATCTCATTTTGCAGCCTTCTCTCCCTATTCCCTTCACTCCAGGACTTTTTTTCCTCAATACATTCTGCCCTTGTACTACTCTGCCATTCCTATAACCCCTCCATGTTCTCTGTAATTTTGTTGTCCTATTCTACCCAGAAATGCACTCATTTCTAAATGCTTAACACATCATTTTCAATCATATCATTTTGCAAACCCTGTAAATTAATCGAAATCCGCACCGATAGGATAGCCATTAGCCACATGTGGCTATTTAAGTTAAAATGAAATAGAACTGAAAATTAAGTTCCTCAGTCCACTGGCCATGTTTCATGTGCTCGCTAGCTACATGTGCCTAGTGGTTACTATGTTGGACAGTGCAGATAGAGAACATCTCCGTCGTGACAGAAAATTCTGTTGGACAGTGCTGTTTTAGACAATGATTAGTAAGGGCTGTTAACATCACAAAGAGGGACTACCAGGCATTATGTGCCTCCTGAAATGATGCAATAAGAAGTATACACTACCATTTATGACATAGTTATACCAAAAAACCAAGCCTGAATCTGGTCACACTTCTGGATCTAACAACCAATTTACAGGAAATACAAGAGTAGGAGGAGCTTATTAACACCACAGTGATACATACAGCAAAACTGAAGCTGTGGGAAACTCAACAGGACAAATGAACTGGTTTCTTTAACAGATAAAGTGCAAGAGAAAGAAAAGAGGAACCTATGGATGTAACACAGACTTAAAAGAAATGCAATAGCAAGGTATGGATCTGATTTGGATCTCAGTGCAAGCAAAGTGAACAAAAAGTTGAGAGAACTAGGAAGATTTGAGCAATGATTGGATATGTGATGACATTAAGGAATTATTAATTTTTTAAGGTACATTAAATACCATTTGGATATGTTCTAAAAAATCCTTACCATTGAGATGCATATTTAAAATACTTAATAGAGAGGCACCAGGGTGGCTCAGTCATTAAGGTTTTGCCTTCACCTCAGGTCATGATCCCAGGGTCCTGGGATCGGGGCCCTGCATCAGGCTCCCTGCTCAGCGGGAAGCCTGCTTCTCCCTCTCCCATTCCCCCTGCTTGTGTTCCCTCTCTCGCTGTGTCTCTGTCAAATAAATAAAATCTTTAAAAAAAATACTTAATAGATGGCACGGGACTAGAATTTCCTTCAAAATAGTCCAGGCAGGAGAGAGGAAGCAGTGTGAGGGTGGGGATGAAACAGGATTGGACACAAGTTGATTATTGGGATTGGGTCATTGGTAGAGGCTTTACTGTCCTATTCTACTTCAGTGTATGTTTTGTTTTCCATTCCTTATTGGGCTCAGTTCTGGGAAATCCCTCACCTTTGCATTTCCTACCAAATCTTGGTGCTATTCAACTTGGTAACTCCTAGGTCAAAGTGGAAGAGAGGGAGAAAAGAGACCTTTTCAGAGGGATGACCTGTAGCTCTGGTGTGCTGGGGAGCCTGAGGCTGGGCAAGGTTTGTAACCTCACTATCTTCCATCTCATACTGTGCTACTGAGGAATCTCAAGGAACTGCACAGCCACTGCTCCAGGTAGAGGGCTTGGCTGGGGGCCCACCTGCCCAACTGCAGAACATGTGAAGAGATGCAGACACTGAATAACCTTTCATTGTCCTCAAGGTTCTGACTGTCCACAAGCTAAGCTCCATCTTGGTTGCCTGCAAGCTTAGGGATTCTATACACTTTGTCAGGACCAGGGCTGTCAGATGGGTCACATCTTGGGCAGGGCTGTGTATGAAGCGCTTCTCATCCCTAATTATCAATGGCTGCCTAAAGCTTTTGCTCCTCGATGTGACATTCCCATGTATGCAGAGGTGTTTCCCAGAGGCCAGACCAGTGTGACTACTCCCCAACCCATTCACGCCCTGCCCCACCCCCTTACACAGACAAGTCCACAGCTCACAGTAATGTAAAACCATTTGTTTAATTCTAAATCAAATCACTTTCACAACAGTGAAAATTAGTGACTGGTCAAGGTGTGTACATGGTGTCATTTTCTGACTGTGGGTGGGACCTGGTCCTAATCCACAAAGGTGGCAGGAGAGGGTGGAGACCAAGAACATAGACAACACACAAAAGAAAGGAAAACTGCCTTGGCAGAGGGGCAAGGTGATGAACCTGCAGAGGGGTGGTGGGAAGGGGGTTTCCTGTTGGGGCTGGGCCAGCAGTCCCAAGTTGGCTCTCCTGTCCCAGCTCCCAGTAGAGGGTGAGTGGGGACCTAGAAGGTTCAAAATCAAAGGGCACGTGACCAGCCTGGCTCTGCTTACAGGTTCCTGGGATGCCCTTGCTGGTGGAGTTCTCCTAGGCTTACTACTTTGTTAGAGAGTCCAAGTGATTTGTCTTCCTATCCCACAACCCTTTTTTAACCTTTCTTCTGGAAACCCATTTCTGTTGGGCCCATCTGACTGAAGTCCTCTCTCTCACCACTAGGTGGGGCTACTACACTGAGCGATCCCACCAATTCACTTATGTTGAGAATTCAGACACCCCTCACCCCCCCACCCCACTTCTCCAACTTTGGGGACTTCCAGGAGGTGATAAAAAGAGCACTCTTGAGTGGGTGTCCCAAGAATGTTTAAAATCCATCCGGGACCTGTAAAGCTGGTGGCTTAGTCCTACCAAATGGATTCGGCAAACAAAACCACCTATTCAATACTTACATTTTGTCTGATTAAACACTGAACTCTGGCATTGACAGGTACAAAGGGGAAGGGGTGGGGCCTGTGGAGAGGAGAGGAGGAAGACTTCCCTCATCTTCCTCAAGGTCTTGGTTTCCACATGCTATGCAGAGCCACATCTGGAAAAAAGCACTAGGTGGGGCTTTCTACCACTTGTTGGCTATGGCTGGGGGTGAGCCAGGAGCAGTGTGGACTGGTAAAGTGACAGAGAGGCCCCCAGAGGAAGTCCATCTCCTTCGATCCCTGGAATCTGCTGGAAGGGGCTGGATTTCTAGGAAGAGGCCTGACCAGCACAGTGAGAACTATTCCACAAGTGAACTGTCCTGCTGCCTGGAATCACTCCCTTAATCAGATTCTGAGGAAAAAGTCTGTGAAGTGGAAAAACAAGTCAAGGGCTTGGGAAGATGATTTCCCCTGGAAATTTCCTGGGGAAGACCACACCATATCACCATGGTCTCTAGGCCCTGCTGCCTGGCTTTAAAAATCATGAAGAGTTGCTTGCTCTGCAGTTTCACGCTTCTCTCTGGTTTTAGCATAGATACAAGTTTTCAGGGGTATCCACCCAAGCCATACCAAAACCAGGGTCATATGTGGGTCTCCCCACTCCTGCCTCTTCATAAAGGACAATTTGGCTTCTGGGGAAGATGGTCTTCAACATGCAGCTGAGCCGACGTGACAAAGCAGCCAGTTTCCATTGGGTGGGTCTGAGAGGATGCACCCAGAGCTTTTGTAGCCTTGGGGACAGGGCTGCTTGTTCAGTTGTTCTTGCATCAGAGCTCCAAATACACCAGAGCCCCACTGGCAGGTCTTTCCTAATGAGTAGTCAGTTCCAGCTTCAGCAGTAGTCTCCACTGTGCGTCCTCTGGCAGATGCACATATTTGGGGAGGAAAGATGATGGGAAATCTGTGACTGAAGCCACATGTCTCTGGGGATAATCTACTCCAGGAAACCAGGAGGTCATTCAAGCCACTCTCTGGAGCCAAAGAGACTGAGCATGTCCCAGAGCCAATAAAAGATCTTTGGATCTCTGGTGAATTCATGAAGTGACTCCCGCTTTAGCTGCTGCAATTATGATCTTTATAAGGACAGCGATTTCTTGCATTTCTGCTGAGGAGAAGGAGATAGGGCAGAGCAGCACTGGGATACAGAGGGAGGAACCTCTCTATATGAGGAGTCCACTGATTTTGGAGGCCACTCACCAAGGGGTATTTAAAGAGATGAAAGAAAGTTTCTATTTGGTTCATCCCTTTATTTTTATAATATTAAACTCAGGTAAAATTGTACTGACAGTTTCTCTCTTCCTGCCTCTTTCTTGTGCAGAGTCAGGACCTGCTGAGCTGGCTGGAACAGGATTTCATGGTGTAACTCACGAGAGATGACTCAACGCCAAGGACTGAGGTTATAGCAGGGTGTTTACAGCAGTGGCCATACTCCAAAGTCCTTGACAACTGGTCTTGAGTCCTTAAGCTCTGATGGAGAAGCAAAACTCCTTGATGTGTTACTGACCCCACCGATTCCAGGGATCAGGATTAGCCAGGAAGCCAAACATCAAGAGTGGGTGTGGCATGTCACCAGTCCAGAGGCCCTGCCATGGATGTAGGCTGGGAGCCCAGCATTAGGCAATCAGGAGCCAGAACATGATCACTAGGGCCACAAACAGGAAGAGGCGTGACAGGAACTGCTCATCCACGTACTGGGGTGTTCCAGGGACAGCTGGAGAGACAGGAGGGAGAAGAGAGGGTGTCAGAACACTGCAGCTGTGCACACTGCTGCCCATTTGGGCCAGAAGTCGAGAGCATTAGTGTTCATCTCTTTACAGCAGAACTCTGCATGCTAAAAAGATTTCCAAACCCCAAATAACATTAGGCAAAATAAAACTGAAATTATGAAGATATGCGGAATAATATAACAATGAGGACAAGGTCTCCAGTTTATCCTAAGACAGTTTGGTCTGCAGGTGTAAATTAAACAGGAAACTCAGAGGAAATAAAAGAAAAGCTGTTAAGCATCTTCTGTGTGCTAAGAGTTTTGTACATACATTACTGCTTGGTGGGTATTAGCATTCCCATTTTGTGTAAGAAGAAATTGAAGCACAGGTATGAGGTGACCTGCCCCAAATCACAAGGTTCACACATTAGTGGCAGAGCCCCATAGTCATGCTATCAGCCTCTCTGCATGCTCCCTTGTGAGTCATGGAGTCTCTAGATTTTGGCACTTTGAGCTGGGGGATGGGGGGTGCAGAGAGCCTCACACAGAGTGCCTTCCTTTTCCAGAGGACAGAAGTAGAGCCCAGACAAGCAAAGTGACTTGTCTCATCCATCACACAGCAAACTAGGGGCAGAGCTAGGCTTCCACTCCTCCCTGCTTTGAGAAAAGCTACTATGTAGAGCTCCCTGTCCAGACTTTGGGGGAAGAGTAAGAAATCTATATCCAGGATGGGCAAATTTTATCAAATATGACAAAGGAAAACTGTGATTGTGGCAGGGGGATAAAGTGATCCAGAGTCCAGCCTGGCTGTAGAACTCTTTACCTAAGGAACCCAGGGTAAGCCCTGAAGCAAGAAGGGAAGCAAGCTGCCAAGTGGATTCTTGCTGCTGCCATAGTGTCCTGTCCCTCCTTCAGGGCAGAGCACACCCTGCCTTGTGGGTCTCCTTCCTTTGAGAAAATGCATAAACGAAGGAGAAACCTTTGAGGTGGAGGAGGTAAGGAAGGGCATTCCAAGATCTCTTGGAGCTGTACTATTCCCCAGGTGGGTGCTCTGATGATTCATGCAGGCAGTCAGTCAACAAAGACTTACTGATTGCCTGCAATGTGCCAAGCATCAGGGTAGGGGCTAAGGAAAACTGGGATGACCCAGGAGTAGGTTTCTGTCCCTAAGAGCATAAGCTCCTGGCCAGGGACCACACACTGCTCTCTTATGTACCACACACTGTGCCCAGCACACATGAGGTTCCAATGAGTGCAGCAAGCAGAGCTCAAATGACCTCAGGACCTCTACAGACTCCATGGTAAGGATCTTGGCCCAGGTGTCAGATTGGGATAAAGTACAGGGCACCCACCTTGCTGCCCTGCTCTATATGGAATACAGCTGGCACCTTAAGCTGGCTGGAGAGAGAAAGGTAGTGGCAGGTAACAGACCCAGAAAGGGAGAAAGCGTTCCCAAAGGGGTGGGGCTTGGGACCAGCCCCACACGTATCCTGAGGGAAGCTGGACAGAGATGCCAGAGAATAGAAAGGCCCTGAATCCTGGTGGGTTGCCGCTCTCCTCTCTGCCCCTAAATGGTAAATGCACAGGACTAGGCTTTTCTTCAGCTAGGTATCCTGGGTATCATTTTATTCTTTTTCATTTTATAGGCATAGAGTAGGTCTTGGAAACATACTGAGCATTTTCTAATTTGTAAAATGGAGCTAAATGCACACCCATCCCACAGGCTTGTGGTGAGGATCCCCTGCATTTGTGATGACAAGCACTTTGAACATGCGTAATATTTAGTAAGTGGGCAATACACATTATCATGACTACCAGTAATCTGAAAAGAATTCACATTTTTGAAAAGGCTGATTGACCAAGCAGTGACAGTTATCTGTAATCTGCATACTAATAAATTCCAAGGAGCCTTCAAACAGAATTACCAAGGAAGTAGGGTCTTACCTGGAGGAGGCCGCCCATCATTTATGTTAAATGCTGTGGCAAATATCCCAAAGGGAAATGCCCCAATTCCAAAAGACATCTGGAAGCCACCATCTCCAAATCCAAACCCTTGAAATCCCTGTGTAGAAGAAATGCAATTCAGAAGAACAAGCATGTTTTTTTGCACCTGTCAAACATATCACCTGCAGGTGGCACCTGCCTCTCCTCCTACCCTCTGCCACCTGTTTCCAAAGGGAAACATTTTTTCCTCCCATTTAGACTGCAAGGCCTGGTGGCCACTCTGCCCTTCTGGCCTGCAAGGGGTTCTAGCTAAGGAGTTGTGAATGCCAGAAAGGACTGGCTCTGGCCCAAAGTAAAACAATCTGCTGATGCAAGTCAGGCTTCTTAGAGCACCAGGTTTTTCCCCAGAATTCCACCCTACATGCTTTTCTACATGCTTTATAACAGCAAAATTGGCAACCACCCCTACACCTAATTACAAGGGAACATTGGAACAAGCTGCACATTATTGCTAATAGCAAAAAAGTGGAACCCTAATTAACCAACAATGGAGGTCATGATCAATATCGTGATACACACTCTCTAAAGACCATCATGCTGACTATGCAGCAACACAGAAAAACTCCTGTGACCAAGCTACCAGACAAAACTGAACACTATGTTCACAAGTACATGCCAACATGCAGGTATGGAAATAAGATATAAACAGATAAGTATTTTCCCTCAAAGTTTTAATATTTTTACAAAGAATTTAAAAAACATAAAACACTAACTTTTTTCTGATTATTTTTGTATATATACTTGTTATAAGAAACTTACACATTAGAGGAATAATTGACATAGAAAGTCAGAGTTCTCCTTATTCACCATTTCATGGCCATGCTCTCCCCAATAACCACTATCAGCAGTTTGGTGTATCATCCCCATAACATGTTCTATACTGTGTCATCTTTCATATGAAAAGACTTAGCAGGAATTGTAACACTGTGAATAAGTAACCCATTTTCTATCTTTACCAAAGTTGCACAGAGGGTAGAGTTTAGATTAGAAACTAGGTCAATATGATCTGAAGACCCATGCTCTTAATTATTGTGCACATCTTACAAAAATTTTCTCTCCTCCCCCACATCCCTAGGTAGATCTTTAGAACAAATGATTAAAAAATAAGAAGAAAATGTACTGGGTCAACTGCTCTCCACAAAGAGCTGATTGGCCTTCATTTGTGAGTCTTTTGCAAGTCATGGAAGTGGCTGTTCCCTATCCCATACCAAGCAGCCTGGCATCCAGCTCCAAACGTCTTGCTAGGCGGCACTACCTTTAAAGTCCAACAGCAGATATAACAAGAGGACAAGCCTACAGAGAAGAAAAACCACCAGTTTTCCATCTTCTCAGTGCAGAGATGCCTCCTACTCAAACCCAGCATGGTTGAGTTTGAGGGCTCCTGGGACCGAGGCTGCCTTACCCAGGAAGGTGCAACTGTTTCATTAGGAACTACCACTTCATTGAGTGCAATCCCAACGATGGACCCTCTCGACTCCCTTTTAGCAACCTCTACACAATTCCACAAGTCCTCACATTTGCTGGGTTTATGTTCCTGGGGCAATGGAGGCAAAAAGCATCACTGGTGGCTGCAGGTACTTGTATGTGCTAGAACTACACACAACAGTCATTGAGGCCATGGCCTCTGGCTTCCCGAGGTTAGGAGCCGATGCTCTCTGTTGAGAAACAGAGCCTGAGAAAGTTCAAGTGATGTCACCTGGTAGTCAAGGGGGAAGAGTTTAGATTAAAAACTAGGTCAATATGATCCAAAAACCCATGCTCTTAATTCTTGTGGGGAAATGAAAAACTCTTGTGACCAAATTATCAGACAAAACTGAACACTATGGTCATAAGTATGCTCAGGACAATACGTAGAGATGTGCACAAGATATAGATAGGTATTTTCCCTCAAAATTTTTAATATTTTACTCTGGAGAAATGAAAATATACTCATTAGGGGATTCTGGTAGTGTGGATAAATATTTCGCTTTTACAATTTCTTCAGTATTTTAACAAGAAAATTTTAACACTAACATCTGATTTAAATGAGCAAATTTTTTGAGCTAGTGATTTTTCCTAAGAATTTATCTTAGTAAAATTACCATGAACCTGCTCAAAAATGTATCTATAAGTTCACCAGGGTATTTTTAAAATAAAAAAAAGAAAAGGACACAGTTAAATGTCCAAAAAAGGATCAAATAATGTTAAGCTCATACAACTGAACACTAAACAGCCTTTAAATAAAGTATTACTGGCATGTAAAATCTCAAGATATGTCATTAAAAGTCTCCCTCTCTCTGATATAAACTTCATAAGGGCAGGAATCTTTGCTATGTTCACTGATCTATCACCAGTGCCTAGAATAAAGCCCAGCATACCAAAGGCAAATATAGAATGAATGAAATTTTAAAAAAGAGCTACAAAACAGGAGCCAAGTATTGTAAAAAATAAACAAAAATATATGTATACACATCTATAAAATACATGCACATAAATAGATCTATAAAATTTATATATGCGTATATATAATTATAGAACAATAGAAAATAGACCAAAATATTTCCAGTAGTTATCTCTGGATGGTGTGATTTTAAGTGATTTTTCCCCCCTCTTTTCCTTTGTGTATTTCACAATTTTTCCTTTACTTTTATAATCAGGGAGAAAAAGTGTAGGGCCAAGATGGAAACTTTTAAAGCCATCAGCTCATTTCTAGAAGCTTCTCCTAGGATGTTCCTCACCCCTCTGTTCTCTGGCTCTGGCCTCTGTCCTTGAGGACGGGGAGGGGTCTTCTCTCTGAAACAGAAATACCATAAAATAAATAATTATAAAATGCTTTCAGCTATTCTGAGTGTGGTGGGAGCTCTTCACCGACAGGGTCAGGCCCACCTTGCCCAGCACATGAAGTTACACCAAATTAAACCAAATCCTAACCTTCATTCTACTTGCAACTGTATAGAAAAGCAGGGAGAAAAATCTGCTTATTCTAAGATGTTCATCAAGTTGCACTACAGCCTACTCCTCTCACAGGAGCCTGGCCCAGACTGGTTATGAATGCTAGCCAGACACCTTCCCTGGACCTGTGTAATATAGGGGTCACCAATGTTAAAAATCCCAAATCCAAACTGAACAGGAATGGCCTGTCAGCATAGAGGGCTGAGATTCAGGATCTCTCTGATCTGCCCCTATTAACTTCAGCTTTACCTCCCACTCTTCCTTGGTAAGTACTCTACACTTAGCTTTTTGCCTCTGGGTCTTAGCCCCTTCTATCAATCATCCCCAAAATACTGGACTGAGAGCTTGTTAGCCATTACACACTGGCAGGACACTGCCAATACTAAGACTGTGATGGACCCTACTCTTGAGGTGTTTATTCTTTAAAGGGGCTACAACCAATCACAATACAGCATGGGAAGGGACTTCTTGAATAGCGGTATCAACTACATAGGGTGGAAGCAAGGGTGAGAGCAACTAATGTGGGGAAGAAGGGCCACTTCAAGGAGGAGGTAACTTCAGGGCTGCTCATTAAAGATGGACAGAAATTAGTGAAGGAAGAGGATGTTGAGTAGGACTGTGGAGGGCAGAAGAGGCAGGGGGAAAACAAATACAAAGGCTCATGAATGTGAAAGGGTAAGTTCCTTTAAGAGAAGTCCAGTATGCCTGGATACAAGGTATGCTGGGGTGGGGTCAGAAAAGGTATGAGACACTGCTGGGAGAGTCTAGGGGTGTGTGAGCATGTGCATGTGTGTGACCACACCATGAAGGGCTCTCAGAACCTGTGTTTGTAGAATGACAGACCCATCCACACCTCAAACTCCACAAAGCCTCCCAGACCTCCTGTCCCCTCCTCCCTCTGTACTTTACATATCACTGCTGCAGCAACTCCCCTCCGTGCAGACTCTCCTGCTAGACATCCTGCTTCCCAAGCTGCTCCTTCATAGCACTTTGCGTACTTAAAATTGTGATATCTTGTGCACTGCCTAGCACATTGCCTGCTCGCTGGCACTCAGTGGATATTCGTATTACAGCCTGGTGAGGAGCAACTTGGCTTCCCTCCCTTCCTAACTCCCATCTGGATCCCAACTGCCTCAAAAATGAGGGTCTGTAAGCACTAAGTTAAAAGGTGGAGTGAGAAGGTGCTGAATGGAAGTGAATTCATGTCCAAAGGGAGGAGTGGGTGTGAGAGGTGCCCCAAGGCCTCACCTGGGGTCCTGCTGCCCAGTGCTGCCCCTGCCATAGAGCGGGATGACCTTATCTCGGCTGATGCCGGCTTTGCAAACTGGACACACTTGTCTGTTAGGTCTGGTCTCCAACCACTGCAAACAGGAGAGAAAAATGCGTGAATGGTGCAAGCCCACTACAGAGCAGTCATAGCCAGCAGAAAAACATGGACCAGAGGCCTCAAATTGGAAACAGCAGCACCAGCAGGGAACACTTCAAGGAACCCAACTCTCTGATTCCTGTTCCTGGCACTCAATAAATATTTACTAGTGGTGAAATCAAAATTGCTTTTAAACACCTCATAATTAAACAGGATTCTTCATGCTTCATTACTTCTAGGGGCTCCCTGCAACACAGCAGGAAGGAACTGCAAGCCTGGAGCTATGCCAAGGGGTCTGACAGACCCAGCCTCAGTTTAGGTTGTGGGTGCTGGTATAATGAACTTTAAATCTCTGCCTTCCCCAACAGATCAACTGTATTACCCGGGCAGCCAAATTTTGCTTTCTGTGACTTCTCATTTTTACAGCGTTTCCTCAACAACTTTGTATCCCAGACATCAGCATCTGGACATAACCTCACCTTTTTCTGGTGATCTACTATGTGCTAAAAGATAGGTTTTGCTTATTACCTAAATTTGCTTAGTGTCTTTTATATACTTTCATTGATTTTTGCATTCAACTGTTTCTTTTTTTTTTTTTTTTTTTTAAAGATTTTATTTATTTATTTGACAGAGAGAGAGAGACAGAGAGAGAGGGAACACAAGCAGGGGGAGTGGGAGAGGGAGAAGCAGGCTTCCGCTGAGCAGGGAGCCCGACGCGGGGCTCGATCCCAGGACCCCGGGATCATGACCTGAGCCAAAGGCAGACGCTTAACGACTGAGCCACCCAGGCACCCCTCAACTGTTTTTTTCAATATTAAAAACACCAGAATTCTGTTTTGGGCTTCCCAAGCTCTTTCACTGGCTAAAAACATTCTGCTTAACTTTCCTCTAAAATAAAATAAAAATGATAAAAACATGTTATCTGCAGTGTCTTAGAATAATTTAATTCATATATATTTTCTCAACATTTATCTTAGAACATAAATTGCATCTTTAGACCAAATAATTTAAAGTTTATTATATAAATGTGAATCTAGGATTTCAGGGTCAAGGAGAAAGCAGCATTTGATGATTTTATATCCCACTTCCTTTATCCTACTGTTGAAAGCTTCAAACCTTAAGTTAGTGCTCTTTATAAATTTCCAGCAGATAAATTTATAAATTTACTAGGTTTTGCTAGAGTCAGAATGAACAGCCCTTAAAGTAGTGGGAACCCCTCTCTTATTTCCCTTGCTTCTTTCTCCCACCTAGATTCTGAGGCTCTAGAACTCTGGAACTTCTGTCCTCCCCCTACATTCCTAAGCCACCTACTAGTGTGGGGCTCTTTTGCCAACAACCGTGGAGACAGTCAGCTAGCTCACAGTGATTATTCACAGCCAGTTGTGGATGCCAGGCCCTGCTATCTCACTAAGCACGTGCCTGGGTCTTGGTGAATACTTAACTGACTGGTTTTCATAATAATCTAGGGGTGCCTGGGTGGCTCAGTTGGTTAAGCGACTGCCTTCGGCTCAGGTCATGATCTCAGGGTCCTGGGATCGAACCCCGCATCGGGCTCCCTGCTTGGCAGGAAGCCTGCTTCTCCCTCTCCCACTCCCCCTGCTTGTGTTCCCTCTCTCACTGTCAAATAAATAAAATCTTTAAAAAAAAAAAATAATAATCTAAAGCTGGGAAAACAGACTTTTCCCCTCTCACAAAAGCTCTCTGTTGAGACCAAAAAAATTTCTCCCTTCCTAACATTTTCAAGACCTTTATGGGTAGGGAGAACAGCTGATATGCTAGAAGGTTCTTTTTGTAAAGGCAGAATCTCAAAAGTAAAAACTTAACATACTATCAAATCCTATTCTACAGGGCGCCTGGGTGGCTCAGTTGGTTAAGCGACTGCCTTCGGCTCAGGTCATGATCCTGGAGTCCCGGGATCGAGTCCCACATCGGGCTCCCTGCTCAGCAGGGAGTCTGCTTCTCCCTCTGACCCTCTTCCCTCTCGTGCTCTCTATCTCTCATTCTCTCTCTCTCAAATAAATAAATAAACAAAATCTTAAAAAAAAAAAAAAATCCTATTCTACAGATGGGAAACTGTGAGCCAGAGAGGGGGTGGCCTGCTAAGGCCACAAAGACCATCAGTAACAGAGTGAGGACCATCCCAGGTACTACATAGACCCCTTATTTTCAGCAAGTACCTGTCAGTGGGCAGGTGTATAAAGAGGGTTGGGGGGGAGGGTGGTAAAACAAGCAAATGAGCCCACAAACAGGGGAGATTGCAGCTTCTGACAGTAGTCTCCCGAGACTAGGGGTGTCTTGTGCAACCAGAGCTGATGAAAGACAAAGTAAAATGAAATGCATCTTACCTGATGTAAACACGGCCAACTGCCAGAGTCCCCAGGGCAACCAGTCATCAAGGAGAAAGAGAATGGGGGCAAAGGAAGAAAAATACTTTCATTAGCAGAACACCGAGGGTGGGAGCAGAAAAATGGGAACACAGGGTGGAACTCTAGAGCCCTGAAACCCCACTGAGTGTCTGCGGGGAATCACTAGTATCAGAAATTAGAAAAGACTGGGCTAAAATCACAGGAAAAATTAGGCAATAGAGATAAGACCCCAGTCTCTACCCCTGGGATCTTACTTGTAAAGGACCCCCAGGTCCCAAACCCAGCTTCTCTACAAGTCAACCTTTGAGGGACTGTGGCCTCTGAGGAATCCAATACAGGCTAAAGACCTTTTGTGCAGAAAAATTCATGGGGGCATTCTCATATACACATGCACACACACATACACATACTATTTCAGACTCCATTTCAGTGGGTCCATAACCTCCTAAGGCTCACAATGTGTGACTCTGTATCTGGTTTAAGAAAAATCTTCAGGCTGTCCTCAACCTTGAATGCTCTGCTGGCAGGAAGTAGTTTAAAAGGTCAAGTTTAGTATAAAAAAACATCTTTAAGTAATGAAAAGGATGGAGATGCTGCTCAGCAGAAAGGGCTACCTTCACAGCTTAACGAAGTTGTACTACAATGAATTGCTGCTCAGTCCCTCATTTTTCAAATAAGGAAACCAAACTCAGAAACAAGAAACAACTAGCCTGTGGCACCAGGACTAAAAAGTAAGTCTCCTGACATCCAGTTTATTGTCCCTTCTATCACCCAGCATTAGGTGCAAAAAATGATATTTACAGAATTGAAGGAAAAGTTACTCTAACTCTAAATTTTTCACTTTTAATCTCTTGATTTATTCATCCAACTAACAGATATCCACTGCACACCTCCTGTGTGCCAGGACAGTGGAAAATGTGGACATGGTTTCTGTCCCTCATAAAACATGACTCCTCTAGCTGAGTAAAATTTGTTGGACTCAGAGGCTAATCCCTTTCTCAGTTCCTAAACCACAGTTTAGCCCCACCATCCAGACATGCAATCTCCCTGGATGTAACAGACACACCTGACATTTGACTCCTACATTAACCTTGCAATGTCATTCCAAACTGAGCCCAACATACACCAAATCACAGATCTCCACTGGTAACCTCTCTTGAAGGCTGTGGGGGGAGAAGTGGAGGTGACTTCCTTTAGGAGAAGGTTCAAAATTTTAACAAAGATGGTGACCACTTCAATTTATTAAGCAACTACTGTGTGCCAGGCCATGGTTGACTAGCTTTTCATTTGTTAATGTCACTGGAGGGTCATATTAACCTATGACGAAGTGTAATTATCTCCCTTTTACAGATGAGGAAACTCAGGTACAGAGAAGCTTGCAGATTTGTCCAGGGACAAACCACTCTGATAGGAAGCATCTGTTTCATTTTAGAGTCTGTGTTTTTATTAATGGTACCTTGATTTATTCTTAATTTTGTCACTTGTTTCAAGTCCTGGTTTTATAATGCCCCAGAGAATCTCCAATTTTTAGAAAACAACAGTTTCTGCGTAAAACTTAATGATTAGGGCAAGAGCTGCCAGAACAAAATCTGCCCAAACAAAATCTGCCCCATCCTATTTATTCAATAAATTTATCTCTTTATCTTAAACTCCCTTAAATACTACTTAAATGACCCCTTCTTCACACCAGTTCCCTGCTCAAAAATATTCCACAGATTTATGTCCTACTCAATCAAATTTGAGTTTGATAATCTGGCCCAACCCTCTCTTAACCAGTGTTGTTCCCTAACACTTCCCAGCCCCCCATCCAGGGCACTATCTGAGGTTCACAGCAGTCTCAGGGTCTCAGTCTCATATCCAAGAGCACATATGTCTATCCCTAGAAAATGCCTGCCTTGGGGGGGGGGGGCACATACTCTTTGCCTTATCTGCCATTCTTACCCCTCCACTTAGCCCAATTCACCCTTCAAGGTCCAGCTCAAAATCAAGGGAGAATAAAATCTCAACATTTACCCAGAACCTCAGATCCAGGAGGGACTTCTATAATGATGGAGGCCAGAATGAAACTAACCCTGCCACTTCATTTTGATATACATAAAATAGAACAACAATTATTAGGATCATTGCTAACACACAGTATTCCGTGTGTGCTATGTGCTCTTCTAAGCTTTTTATGTATTTTGAGTCATTTGATTGCTCACATACAACCCTGTAAAATGAGACAGAGTGTGTGTAAGCACCTTGCCCAAGGTCATCCAGTAGGGAGGTGGCAGAGTCAGAATTCAGAACAGGAAGTCCGGCTCCACTGTCCTTGCTCAACAGTGTACCACAGTATAACCACTGTACACACTGTCTCTTTGTTCAGCACAGCAAGTGGTACATAGCAACTGCTATGTACTATGTACTAACTGGTGAGCATTTTCACTTTAGAGGTGGAGGTACAGAGTTCAGAGCGGGGACAGGATTTGCCCAAGGCCACTCAGCTCATCAGCAGCAGAACTGGGACAAGAACGCAGGGCTCCTGCTTCTTGGACCTGATTGTATCATCAGACCCAAAGTGGGTGGGAAACCTCCTGTTCCAAAGCTGCCCGGGCCATAGGCTTTCTAAACTGGGCAGTGTGTCTTCTGGGGGTGGTGGCAGGGGTACTGACCAGAAGAGGTGGCCACACAGGCTGATGACGGCGTCCTTGGCTGTGTCCAGACAGATGTTGCACTCAAAGGTGCTGTCCTGCCCTCCACTCTCGCCAGCACCATTGCTGCTACCGCTGGGGCCCCCTGCACTGGAGTTCTCAGGGGATGCAGAGGTCGAGGGCCCCTTGCTCGCCATCCTTGGCTGTCAGACTCTGACTGAAGATTCTCCCCAGGAAAATCCTGAAAGGCAGAGAGCCCTTGATTGCCCATTTCTGCAGCCCTCTCTCCCCAGCTTCCATGGCAATACCCCCATCTTCTCTCAGCTCCAGAAGTTCAGATGATGACTGAACCCCTACACAGACTTTGCAGAGGATGATACTCATGGGGCGCTACCCAGAAAACAATGACTCAAAAACTTTCATGAACACAGCCTAGAATGTACCACACAAAACACACTGCACAAATACAGAACATCCTCCATCCAGACGGCTCTCCAAAGGAACTGAGACCTTTTCTCATATGTCTTTACATTCTCCCAGGAGAACCAATCCAGGTATATGTGCTCAATAAAACTAAATGTTCACAGGCTGGCCTCTAACTGGACTGCCTCTATATTGGCAGGTGAATCTGCTTAGACCAGAAGGCTTCTGTCACTACTGTACATAGAAAACCAGTATTAGTTACCATAAGTGAAAGATAAATACAAATATATAATGACAGAAAAGCTGTTTATCCTCATACTGAAATCTGGCACATTCATATAATGCTTTGGGCAAACCTGATCTGGTCCAATCTCTTCAGGAAACTGAAGCCCAAGACCTGTCCTCTAATTGACTAATGTGGAGCTGAGACCGGGACTCATGACATCCCAGTCTGTAATCAAACCACTGTACCACCACAGATCAAGTTGGCCACCAAATGCTAGGAGAAACAGACCGTTGTTCAGTATTGCCTCCAAATCAAAGAACCTGCCAGGAGCTGAACAAGAAAGAGGACAAGACCAACACCAAGGATACCCAGAAATTCTGGGTGCAGATTAAGAATCTGTGAAGAGCTTGGTCTGGCCACCCCCACCATCTTAGAAATTCCAAGCAGGAATGCTGGCTGGTTATCATAGCCAGAGAACCAGCAGCTTTGATGCTGGCTTCAGTTGAGCCTACAGCTTGCTAGGTGTTTTGAGAACCTCCCTTCTCCTCTGTGGGCCACAGTTTTCTCATCTGTAAACTAAGGCACTGGACTACATGGTCTCCTAGTTGTCCCCTTCCAGCTCTGAGACTGTGAGGCTCCAGGTCATCTCATCCATTCTTTCCAAAGCAGGCGGCCCTACCATAAGTATGGGACTCACCACTGGAGGACCAAAAGACTGCTCTGATTCCAGCTTCCAAAGTTTGAAGACGTTAACGACCAAAAAGCCAGAAGTCTTCTCTGACCAAGAAGCCTTCCTACACACCACCAACTTAGAACTCTGGGCTCACAAGCATCCCTCACCATCACAGCAGCTCAGTGACTTGAGCAGGGAGAGAAGACCAGCTCACTGCCACTTTTTCACTCAGTTACATCATTTTACATAATGTCCCAGAAGGGCAGCTGGCTGCTGGCAGCACCAGTGCCTTACTGGCCTCAGCTCCAAGACTTTCCCCCTGACCCAGTGCTTCTTCCTCTCCACATGCAACTGTTCTCTTCTTCTTAGGATGCAGCCTGCTTCTGAGGGCCATCTTATGGCCCTCAAATGTCATTCCAGCTCAAGTACCTGACCTATGTGAGTTTCCTTAGAATATGTTTATCTTTTAAAATTAAGGACTGTGTGGGCACCTGGGTGGCTCAGTCAGTTAAGCATCTGCCTTCAGCTCAGGTCATGATCCCAGGGTCCTGGATCAAGTCCTGCATCAGGCTCTCTGCTCAGTGGGGAGTCTACTTCTCCTTCTACCTTTCCCCGCTGCTCATAATCTCTCTCACTCTCTCTCAAATAAATAAATAAAATCTTTAACATTAAGGACCATGTGTACAGATGTGGAAAGACAATCATAAAGTCAGGTTAACCGATCAATCTTAATGATAGTCTCCTGATGTGATGCAATAGGAAGTACACATCACCAACAATGAAGCACTCTTAAAACATAGACTCTAATCATGTCTCCAAAATAAATTACCCATTTACAGAAAATATGGGGCACAGAAGCACATGTTTAACAACTCCAGGAGGCAATCAGCAAATCCAGAATGTGGGATCTTTTACAGGACAAATAATCCAAGTTCTTAAAAAATAAATAGCGGGGCGCCTGGGTGGCTCAGTCGTTAAGCGTCTGCCTTCGGCTCAGGTCATGATCTCAGGATCCTGGGATCGAGCCCTACATCGGGCTCCCTGCTCAGCGGGGAGCCTGCTTCTCCCTCTCCCACTCCCCCTGCTTGTGTTCCCTCTCTCGCTGTGTCTCTCTCTGTCAAATAAATAAATAAAATCTTTAAAAAAATAAACTTAAAAAAAAAAATAAAAAAAAAAAATAAATAAATAAATAAATAGCATAAGTGGGACATGGAGTTCTAAATTGAGACTTGAGACATACCAACCACTGAAAGTGTGTGGATCTCACTGGAACCAGGTTCAAACAAACCACCTGTAAAAAGACACTGGTGAGATGACTGTCAAAAATTAGATTTAGCCTAGCTATTAATTGATATTGAGGAATTATTGTTAATTTTATTGAGTATAATGGTATTGCATAATTTAAAAAATACTCATCTGCTAGAAATACTTATTTTTTTAAAAGATTTTATTTGAGAGAGAGAGAGAGAGAGAGCACGAGCAGAGGGAAGAGGCAGAGGGAGAGGGAGAAGCAGGCTCCCTACTGAGCAGGGCTGGATCCCAGGACCCCAGGATCATGATCTGAGCCTAAGGCAGACACCTAACCAACTGAGCCACCAGGCGCCCCTAGAAATATATACTTAAATATTTATGAAGGAATGATGCTTGGGATTTACTTTAAAAACTCCAGGGGGAGAAGTGAAAATGGAGAGAAAAGACTAACAACAGGGAGGGTGATGGTTGCTGGAGCTGGATGATGAATGAGGGTTTATTCCATTAGCTTATTTTTGTGTGTGCTTGTACATTTCCATAATAAAAGGAATTTTTAAAAAAGGTTAGGTTGCAGAAGAGTATGTGCCTGAACTTATTTGGGTAAAAACAAAATCTATAAAAGAATACACATATACATACACATACACACACACACACACACACACACACACAGAAAACATCTAGAAGGCACACACTAAACTATCAACAATTATTTCTGGGATTAGGGGCTGTGGAACTTCGAATTTTATACTCTTATCCTGTTTTAATGTTTTATGATAGGCAGGTATTACTTTTACAATAACGTTTTAAAAAATTGTAAAATGTATGTATAATATTACATTTGTTAAATAATGAAATATAAATATTAGAAAATGTCTTTTAAAATGTGGAAAAACATACCAAACTGTTAATGGTGACTATCTGTATTGGTGGGGACTTAGAGGTGGTGACATATTTTCTAAGTCCTCCCCATTTACAAAACTGACATTTTTACATGTATTAATTTTGAAATCAGACAAAAGAGTAATAGTACATCTAAAAAAAAACAAACAAAAAAAACCTTCCGGGGCGTCTGGGTGGCTCAGTCAGTTAAGCATCTGCCTTCAGCTCAGGTCATGATCCCAGGGTCCTGGAATGGAGCCCCAGGTCTCAACGGGCTCTCTGCTCAGCGGGGAGTCTGCTTCTCCCTCTCCCTCTGCTCCTCCCCCTTCTCAGGCGCATGCGCACCTGTGTGCACACTCTCTCTCTCAATAAAATCTTAAATAAAATAAAATAGGTAAAAAAACTTCCCAGCGTTCCAGTTTTCCCCAATCCTGAAAAGCTCGGAGTTCAAGTCCTGACTCCACCACTCTGAGTAGATACCTTGATGGCTACAATCTCTTTTTTCACTTGAAAAGTAAGGGTGTCGTGCCTTCTACAGGACTGCAAAGGTGGCCCTATGAGATAATACAGTGACCCAGAAGGTCCAACAAGGTGAGGGGTCGCTGCTACTGGGGAGACATACATAGACGCCCCTTATCCTGGTTCATTACCCTCTCTACTCCCTGGACCCAACAAGGCTCTGCATGGCTCATACTCCTAAGGGAAAGAAGGCTTAAGGGGACAGTCAGGATCAAGGCAGGTGTTAGGGTGGGAATGGTCAGAGGACAGTAACAGAACAGCTCAGTTTGCAGACAGCAGCAGGCTTACAGCAGGTTAGGCACTGGGACAGGCCTGCACATCCCAATTCCAAGCAGACCATGTAACTCTCATTCTAATTCTCGGTAGACTGACCACGTGGTCCCTACTCAGGCTCTAAAGCCTCCTCCTAGTAGGCACTCAAATATTTGCTGAGTGAATGGGTGTGGGCGTGTGTGACTGGTTTTGGTCAACAGGCCAGCTGCTCACAAACCTCTCTGCAACACATCCTGGGCCCCAGAACCACGCAGCTATCCCTGGAGCCTTCTTTCCTCACCTCCCTACCCTCATGTACAGAAACCTCACCACACCAAGGCAGCATTGCAGAGATGAGCATCATTCCCTGGGGACTGTCTACTGAACACCTGCAGAACAAGAGAATGTGGCTACAGCCTCCTGGGCCCAGCAAGAGTGGGTCAGAGGACAGAGGGCCCTGGTTGGCTCAGGAAGTGGACAAAATAAAAGGGAAGCAGGCCCTGAGCATGCCTGAGCTGCCATCCTACTAAAATTTTCTCCTGGTCCTGGTAGGGACTATGAACTTCAACCCGACCACACAGCAGTCTTGTTGTAGCTGGTTCTGAGCCCCTGTCCCTACTCTGACAATTCTTCACTCCTGATCTGAATCTACTTTCTGCTTTTCAAGCACATTCACATCTATTACCACTTTGATCCTCACTCCACTTTACAGATGAGGATACAGGCCAGGGAGGTTAGAGGACCTACCCAAGGCCAGGCAATCATGCAGCACCAAATTCAGACTTTCCAACACAACACTGGCACTCTTTTCACTCTTACATATTACCCTTTAACATGTAGCTTTACAAAATTAAATACCTGGTCTTTTTCCCCCTCAAGTTTATTGTACAATGCTGTAACTTTTGTGTTCTTTGAAGTGAGTGTGAAGCATGCATTTATGCTTTCAATCAACAGATCTCTAGTACCAACTACATTTAAGGCTTGGGGCTACCAGCTGTGTGTGTGGAGAGAAGTCTCAAAGAGCATGGCCACGCTGAGGCTCTGGAATCTGGAATAGGAGCTAAGGAAGACACATGGGTAATTACAAGAATTCTTAACAAGGGGCTCCATCAAACTTGCCTGTTTTTCCTAAACAAGGCACCCTCCCAGAAATCTGGTTCCTAGACCCCCTCAGTGATTTAAATAGAATTTGGATCTGGACAGTGCCCAGGAATGTGTATTTTCAAATAAATGCCCCTACCTTCCACACCAAGTGATTCTTTGATGAAGTTTTGGAAACTCAGCTCTCAAACAGGGAAGAACTCTACCAAAAGCACAAAGCAATATGACACAGCACAGAATTTGGGAGGGACAGTGACCTCAGGGTCTATCCTTCAGAAGGCACAACCCCCAGCTCCAGTACACAGAGACTACGAAGAAGTCAGATAAACTTGGGGGATGGGGGACAAGTCTGCGGAGATCTCAGACCAGTCAGCACCTGGTCCATCCAAGACAGAGCTGACCATTAAAGAAACAAATTCAGGGGCGCCTGGGTGGCTCAGTTGGTTAAACCACTGCCTTCAGCTCAGGTCATGATCCCAGAGTCCTGGGATCGAGCCCCACATCAGGCTCCCTGCTCATTTAGGAAGCCTGCTTCTCCCTCTGCCTGCCGCTCCCCCTGCTTGTGCTCTCTCCCTCTCTCTCTCTCTCTCTCGCTCTGTGTGTCAAATAAATAAATAAAATCTTTAAAAAAAAAGAAACAAATTCATACCTAGTTTCAAAAAACATTCCTAGGGGCGCCTGGGTGGCTCAGTTGGTTAAGCGACTGCCTTCGGCTCAGGTCATGATCCTGAAGTCCCGGGATCGAGTCCCACATCGGACTCCCTGCTCAGCGGGGAGTCTGCTTCTCCCTCTGACCCTCTTCCCTCTCGTGCTTTCTATCTCTCATTCTCTCTCTCTCTCAAATAAATAAAAAATCTTAAAAAAAAAAAAATTCCTAAATGAGATGTCCAGGTTGGCACATGTGATGCTGGGACTAAAGCAGATTTGCAATACTTAATGATCCCTTAGGAATGCAGAGCCTGGAAGCTGAAACGGACCCAACATCCTCATTTCTATTACTTTCCCAGAGCTGGCCTGGTCTACCTCACAGGAACTGAGCAAGGAAGAGAACAGAAAAGTTGCATACCCCTTCAGGAAACACTGGGGAACTTGACTTCATGAAGAAATCTCTTTGTAGCATTCTTGTATTCAGATCTCAAGTTCGAGAGAACTGCAGTTTTCAAAATCTGCCTTCTTTGTGCCTTTAAACTCTAAGAATTCCTGGACCAGGGTATGCTGAGGCATCTAAGAATGTTAATCCTAGTGATGACGATTACAAATTTGGGTGATAAATGATTGCCACGATCCCAGAGGATACCCAGCAGAGTTCTTGTTCCTGTGGGCACATGCTTGTTCACATGGAAGCTTTCTGCCAGAAACTGTAGCTTGCCTGAGCCTGTTTGTGCTGTTCATTAGGCTGCTGCTGGACCACATGCAGGCAGAGATGAGAGGTGCATTCTAAAAATGTCTACATCACACTCACAGAAGGCTGGAGTAGGAAAAAATCTAACTAAGTTGATTGGAACTTGGAACACATAGAAACCAAGCTCTAAAATTTTAGTCTAAATGCTGTTTAGGTAGGTCCCTAGGCTAGCTCACATAAGCTTGGCCCTAAAATATAGGATCATGGGCATGAATGAACTTCCACATCCAAAAGGACAGAGGGAGCTGAGACTAGCCTCTTTTCTTTGGGGCAGCACTGGTCCTTTTTTATGGCATCCTTTAACCTCCCTATCTGTTCAAGCAATCCCTCTCTTATCTTCAAAGATTTATTTTTTAAAGAATTTTTATTTGACACAGAGAGTGAGAGAAAGCACAAGCTACAGGGAGGAGCAGAGGGAGAGGGAGAAGCAAGCTCCCTGCTGAGCGGGCAGCCCAACAAAGACCCTGAAATCACAACCTGAGCCAAAGGCAGACAGACGCTTAACTGAATGAGCCACCCAGGCACACCATCTTCAAAGATTTATTAAAGATCTTATTTGTCAAGCATTCAGGATACAGAGATAAAGGGTTTCAGTCTAAAGGGGGACATAGTCAAGTAAACAAGGCAGCCTAGCTTGCTGAGTGCTGACAGAAGTATGTACAGAGTGCATGACTGCAGGGCATGCTGGGGAGACACAGAACACAGGGCACGTATGGGTGTGGTAAGGCAGCAAGGGCTAGGACTGAGGCAGGAAGAAAGGCCTTAGAGTCCTTGTGCCCTTCGTATTTGAGTGGGGACTCTGGGATCAACTGTTCCTACTTCTTCACGTTTTCTTCCGGTATTTCTGAATCGAAAGGGTTTTCTTTGTTTTGGTTTAAACTTCA